TTATTTGAAAAATTTATGTTAAAACGAGTATTTGACATAATTATTTTTTCCAAATTAGTATTTTAAAAACAATTTAAAGCATTTAACACCTTCATACATACATAAATAACGTATAGAATTACATAAACCGAGATAAAGCATACCTTGTCCATATTAAACTACATAAGACATAAAAAAAAAAAACGAAAGAAAATAAAGTTGTCCATACAATACACCAGACAAAAGATAATATGTAATATCCTTACTGGCAAAATGATAAAGCCAAACTGAAAAACAGGGGTAACATCAGCATCTTCACTGCCACCTTCCACCACACTTTTTCCTTCTTCATTGGTGGCTTTCTTCTCAGATTTAGTAGGCTCATTTGAAACTTCAGGTGGAACTTCTTCTGGTTGCTTCACCGTAGATGAAACTCCACCTTAATTTTGTCGTGGCCTGTCTCGGCTCCACCAGCCAGCAGGTCTTCATCTTTCTCAAGTGCATTGTCCTCGGCTTTATCAACCTCGAGGCTCTCAATTTCCTTTTCAGGCACTTCTTCTGCTGGAACTTCAATTGATGATGTTACCCGGGAAATGACATATTCAATGCTTGTCTGATTTATTTCATCTCCCTCCTCCATCGGTACAATATCAGGGAGTTTCCCTTCTTCATTATTGTCATCCTTCTTCCCCTTCTGTTTTTTCCCCTCGGTTTCCCCAATGTTTTTCTCTTTCACACTCTTTGATTTTTTTTTGTTTGTTTTTCATCAACTTCAACCCTAACTCCACTGTCTTCATACAGTGTCCTCTTTCTCACCTTCCCTCTTGTTTCAGCCACTGTTTTTTGAACTTCTTTAACATTTTTATTCGTCCTTCCTTTCGACACAGTCTTCTCTTTTTCAGCCTCCTCTTCAACTTCGTCATCTTCACTTTCTTCATCTGCCTCCTTCACGGACTTCTTCCCCTTGCCTTTTTTTTGTTTCTCTTCTTCCTCACTCTCATCATCAACTGCCTCCTTCATGGCCTTCTTCCCCTTGCCTTTTTTTTTTTTCCTCACTTTCATCATCATCATCTGCAAAATCATCCGGCACCGGTATCCTCCTCATCTTCATAATCACTTTCACTTTCACTTTCTGCATTTTTTCCATTCCCACTCCCTTTCTTTTTCAACTTCTTTTCCTCAACAGGTTCTTCGCTTGCCTCGTGCAAATCTGCTATATAACTCCCCAACAACCTCCACATTTGATTCGTGGCTGAACCCCATCTATCAATCTTATCCTGAATTAAGTGAAACCCCTTCTCGACGATCTCTTGAAATTGTGGTGGAACCTTTCCAACAATTTCTGCTTTGTCCCCGTCGATCACCCCCATTAACTGCATTGCACACAAAAATTAGTGTACATTATAAACAAACATAATATAAACAAACATGTTATAAACAAAGATATTAGAACTTACTTTATTTGTCTTGTAGCCATCCTTCAAACCGCTGATTAAGTTATGCAGTTTCTTCATGTTCGCATCACTCCAATCCCTAATCCGAGGTAAATCATACTTCCAAATGTTATACAGCCCATCTCTAGGAGAAAACTCACAAAATATTGCCTGCATCAAGAATAACAATAACACTTTGATTTTCGGTTAACACAAGAGATCTATTGAAATTCATTACATAGGTAATCACCAAAACTTCCTTATGGCACTACATGATATCAGACAGTACATGCTATACTAGGATTTTGAAATAATAATGTTACTGGTAATCATTAAAGTCAGAAAGTGGCATTACCTAACGTTGTGAATACAGGACATTCAAAATTTATTTACTTTGGTAATCATCAACTACAACATAGGTGTGTACACAAAAAATATTTAACATAGTGCACCAGTAATCCTCAAAACAAATTTAAGTTGTGTTACTGGTAATCAAATATATGTATCATTTTTCATTAGCTAAAACATAATTTACATTACTCTAAAACTTAATATTTACTTTGGAAACAACCGCTACAACATCAGTGTAAACAATGAATATTTTATGCAGGGCATAGGTTATCCCTATATATATAATATGTAAATACAATTTATACATATATTATATGGAATAGTACGCTTTACAGCAAAATAAGCTTTAAGTAATCAACATATTTATCATTTGTCATTACCTAACATATAAAATACAGGACAATACACCTATATTTACTATTGTAATCTTTGACTATAACATTTGACATAACCTAACTACACATTTGGTGCGAAACAGAACAATTTGATTTTTTTTTTTTAAATTGTAAAAAATATGATAAAGATATATTTTAACAATTAAAAGTAGCTTACCATCAAGAGCAAGGAAAACCCTCCCAAATGTGTAGGTTTCTCCTCGGCCTTGAATTCAGATATAGCATCAACCGAACTATCAAGCACAAACTTTACGAAATTCCAATGCTTTATACAATCTAGTTCGACAACAAGATGAAGCTATCCCATTTTTGGCTTTTCCTCAACGCTTGGGCATATTAGTGCAGTCATGACAAAAACAACAAACATACGTTCAAATTGTGGATCGTCATACGCAATTTTCCTTAGTTCAGATGCCATGCCTTGGACTTTCAGTTTTGTAAACCTCAAAAGCTTTTCATCAATGGCATTCACATTGGCTAACTCCGCACTATCAATATCAAAGCCATGATCTTTAAATCCCAACAGGTACTCAACATGGATGTTTGTGATCTGTATTTTATCCCCATAAACCCCTAATGTTCTTGTTGACGGATCAAAGTGGTCTATAACCCACTTGCACATAGTCTTTCTCGTTGTCTTAGTGATGTAGTGTAACAGAAACCCAAAACCTATAGCCTCTATTTTATCTTTTTTCTCTCTTGGAAATCCTTTTACTAATGACACAAATGCTTCTAGTTGACACAATAGATTCCAAGGTACCTACATACATATAATTTTAACTTTAACTTTGAAATTACTGAACATTATAAAAATAACAACATTAAACCAAAAGTATATAAATTTATACCGTCATTGTTGTTGAACCTCGTTTAGGGAATGACCTCAACCAAAATCCGGAATACCCTTTTGTATATTTGTGCACTTCAGTATTTTTTGTTATTTGTTTTTTTAATTAATTTATTTATTTATTTTTTTGGTAAAGATTTAGTTGTAATTCTAGTTTTTTGGAAACATTACCAACAAATAAAGATTCTTTAATATTTTATTTCAAATATACAGTAAGTGTATTCAAGTAATCCATAATACTATTCCTCAAAAAATATTTTCACATAATACTATTTATTTATTTATTTTTCTATAAAAAATTTCATATTATACTTTATTTTAACTAAACCTGTGCTTTGTTAAAAAAAGGTTAAAAAAAAAAGGGAAAATTTACAGTGGAAGACATAGGTAATACAACACCCTAATATATGTCATTGCCAGTATAATAAAAAAAAGGTTGTTCGAGTAATGCGATACTGAATAGATTAAGTAAAGATTGATGATAATGTAATAACATTGAAATCTTAATGTCAATGCCAAATGTGCTATATAAGGTATTCAAACAGTAAAATTATAAATAATAGCATCCAAAAGAAATTCCCAGTGTTAAAAACAAAGGGAAAATTTATAGTGGAAGACATAGGTAATACAACACCCATATATATGTCATTGCCAATATAATAAAAAAAGGTTGTAAGAGTAATGCGATACTGAATAGGTTAAGTAAAGATTGATGATAATGTAATAACATTGAAATCCTAATGTCAATGCCAAATGTACTATATAAGGTATTCAAACAGTAAAATTATAAATAATAGCATCCAAAAGCAATTCCCAGTGTTAAAAACAAAGGGAAAATTTACAGTGGAAGACATAGGTAATACAACACCTATATATATAGGGTTGTACAGAGTTTGGTCGTAACCAAACCAGACCAAACCGCATTTTAGCGGTTTGGTTTGGTTTACGGTTTGGAAAAATACGGTTTGGTTTCGATATTTTGGGAAATACGGTTTGCGGTTTGGTTTGGTTTTTCAAAAATTATAAACCAAAGCAAACCGTAAACCAGTAAACCGCATTTTAATATTTATATAATATTTATAAAAAATAAAATAGTTATTATATATTTTAAAAAAGAAAAAAATAATAATAAAAAACATGAAAAATCATTAGAAGACGGTCAGTAATTCAGTATAATACTATACTCCAAGATTAGTTTAGCTCCGGTAATCATTGATATCACATAGAGTAGCCCCTGATGTTGTCAAGTAGCTGCCAATTATTAAAATCTATAATGTAGTATGAATTTTTTTTTTGGACAAATGTATTATGTTTTTTTCCACTGTTAATTTGTTATGTATTATTTTTATTATGTGTTTTTGTGTTAGCACTTGATTAGTTGGTTGTTATTTTTATTAAAACTTTGTAGTATAATTTAATCCGTTTGGGCTAATTATTTGAACTTTATTATAAATTTATTAATATTTGACAATTTTTAGGAAAAAAATGTCGTCTCATCATAAACCGCAAACCAAACCGCACCAAACCCATTATTACGGTTTGGTTTGGTTTGGTTTCAATATTAATATGGTTTGGTTTGGTTTGGAAAATTGGCCAAATCGTATTTTGCGGTTTGGTTTGGTTTATACTCAAACCGCACCAAACCAGACCATGTTCACCCCTACATATATATGTCATTGCCAATATAATAAAAAAAAGGTTGTAAGAGTAATGCGATACTAAATCGATTAAGTAAAGATTGATGATAATGTAATAACATTGAAATCTTAATGTCAATGCCAAATGTGCTATATAAGGTATTCAAACAGTAAAATTATAAATAATAGCATCCAAAAGCAATTCCCAGTGTTATTACCAAAAAAATAAAGCTCACAATATGCAATATCATATAATCTAATAGGTAAATACCTATTATAAATTCATTACATTAAACACCTTAACCACCTTTTCAAAAATTGAAAAGTCTTAATTCAAAATTAAAACGAACTATGGCATCTAAAAATCCGTATTTGGGTCCCAATCGAAGATGGTGGGAAACTTTTCAAATGCACTGACTTCATAACAATCGGTCGCGTTTGCTGCATTGCCAGTATTGTATGTCCTTGGCATGAAGTTTCTCAATAGCTCAACGAAACCACCACTTTTGATCGGTGACGTTTTTGTTTCAGAAGTTGTTGGAGCTTTATGAACCACGTGAGTGATATCATGAACATCACGACCAATTTGAATGCCCTGGACTATATTATCATTCCTAGTGGTTTTGACTTCACTCTTTTTGGGTCTACCCCTGCCTTTTCCTTTATTAACCTTTTGGTCTTTTAAGATGTCCTTTTCCTTGGGATTTATTTTCTCATTTTCAATTTCCAACAGCATTTTTGCTAACTTGTCTCTCACCCAAGTTGATCGATCATACGATGAAGAAACCATTCTACAAAGTTGTGCACTTAATCCAGTGAGGAATGCATAACGTCCATTTGATGATGCCTGGTCGTTTCTCTTCTGAAAATCATGCTCCTTGTATGTATTCTGCAGATGCACCTTGGCTCTGATTGTCCACCTACGAAGAATACAACCGGATGGTATCTCAACCATTCCTTTGAACTTCATTACTGCAAACATATGTCGACATGGTAAACCAATGGAGTTGTACTTCATACAACAACAAACCATTTGTTGCAGTTTCTGGTTGTAACACACAACGTAATTGCAATCTTTGTTCACACAGTCGTTTAACCAAAAAGTGGTTGGAGCCCCATCACGATGTCCTTTTTCTTCCTTAGTCTTGGTCACAATGTGTCCTGATTCAAAACTTAATTCCTTCAAAAACAAATTGTACACGTTCCTTGTGTAGGTTCGTGCTGCTTGTGTCTTAATTTCAGGCAAGACCCCAGTTATTACTGGAAATGTATGTGTTGAGATGTAATCATCTTTATCTTCTTCAAATCGTATATGCTCAAGGACTTGGTCATACAACTCCACAAAACGATACAACATTATTTTTGATGTTATAACCGTTTTCAATGTACTATTTATGGACTCACATCTTTGGGTGCTTCTCATGCCTGCATACAAATGTGTATTAACCAATACTGTAATCAATTATATCACATATATATTCGATTACAATTAAATATTTGGAATACCACTTAGGTTTATTAAGGATTACCTATACAACTAATGATCGGAAAATATTTAATGTAATGATCCATTACTGTACTATATATAGATTACATTAAATACAACAATTAATACTTATTTTCTTATTCAGATGAATACATATAACCAAAGTGTTATTTGGGTGATATAGGTAATGAACAAACACCGATAAACATAATAAGCGCTATCAAATTAAAATATGTAATGATAGAATATGATATATGTAATTACATTAATATCTAAAATGTACTTACCTGCATAAAATTGTCCCACCATGAAAGCCTCCGCCCATTTTTCCTTATTACTGTACAGCTCTTGTGCCCACTTTTTATCTCTCAGTGCATCGTATGCTTTCATTAAGTCCTTTCAAGCCTCTTCAAACTCAGTTGGTGTACGAGCACCGTCTACACATTTCATAAAACCACTGCAAAACCGTTTGTTTGTGTGGCCCTTGATGTTGCGCATAAGATGCCACAGAAATAACCTATGATGCGCATGTGGGAAAACCTCTTTAATAGCTAAAGCAATAGCCTTGTCCCCATCTGTGACAATGGTATATGGAGCCACACTGCCACCTGCCTCTTTTAATTGTTCTAACACCCATATGTATGTGTCAGTTGTTTCGTTTGCAATCAACGCAACACCTAAGGGTACAGTCTTCCTATGATGATTTACTCCAACGACAACAACGAATGGTTTCTGGTATGCGTTGACTTTGTAAGTCGTGTCAAACGCTATTACCTTCCCGAAAGCCTTCTAATCTGCTTGGCATATTCCATCACACTGATGAGTGACATATATGTCACTCTTAGGGGTAGCATTTAGGTCTTTTTCCTCTTATTTTTCTTAGTTTTTTCCACCTCATTTATCCTCTTATGGCTTCTTTATGTATTGATGAAAAGTAATGCTTATTTGCGCTTATTTTGATAATCTTTATGCATTATTTTATCATCCCCATGCTCTCGTGAACTTTGGTATCTTCTGCAGGTTCCATGACGGTCCTATGCACGGTGGGAGGCCCCTTGGCCAAGTATGGAAGCCATGGACAAAGGCAAGAGGAGCAAAAGGGAAGGAGAGGAAGCAAGAAAAGGAAGTGCAAGAGGAGGTGTGGCCGAACCTCTGAAAGGTCCGGTCGAACCTAGGTGTGGTCAAACTTTTGAAAAGTTTGACCGAACCTCCTGGGTGCAGTGAAGGCAGTGTCAAATCAGTTTTCAGCAATTTTGCAGGAGAGGTCGAACCTCAAAAGTTCGACCAAACAAGGATCAGGGAGGTTCGACCGAACCTACACAGAGTTCGACCGAACCTACCCTGAGTCCGACCGAACCTACCCAGAGTTCGGTCGGACCTTTTCCCGATCTCAGCCAATTTTGCACGGACTATTTAAGGTCCTTTTGAGATCGTTTTTCGGGGGGGAGAGAAGAAAAACAGTAGAATAGTTTTCAGCAAAAAAAGATACTCTCTCTTAGTTAGCAACTTCATTAAATTAGTTGATTTAGTTTTAGAAACTCTCAAATCTAATCATTGTAGAAGCAAATTTCAAGATTTATCTCAAGAATTTCAGCAATTATCCAACATTTTTGAAGCTTCAATAGTAACTTCTTTCATTTGTCCTTCATTATTTTCTGATTTTATTTTTTGTTTTGTAAGCCACTTGATTTTCTCTCAATCTTGATATATTGTTGTTGCATGTTAGCTTTGTCCATAGATAATCACTTGTTTTTCCAAATCTTAGAATCGCTTATAATCCAAGCTTGGAATTTGCATGTACTCACAATGAATTGTGAGTAGTCCTCTTGGCTAGGGGTTGGGTGAAACTCAACCTATTGGTGATTATGTGAGTTTGGGAGTGATTTTGATGATGGATTGCGACTAAACTTGATTATATGGGATTGCTTGTTAGTTCTTCATGATAGGAGTAATTAACCTAGATTATTGAACTTGATGGCATGAAATGTTTGGTTCGACATGGAAATGTGAGTTGAATGTTTCATTACCTATTGCAATATGATTATGTATCTTTTGTTGCTAAGTGAATGAGGGATCTAAGCTTAGTAATCTGAGTTGTTTTCATATCGTTTGATGTTGATCTTACATGTGGTCTTTGCTATTCCATTACCCTCATTCCTCCCTATTTGCCTAATTGCTATTGGTTGAGTGAATCCCATTCCCCTAGTGTTTTAATCCCTTGAATTCAACCTTTAGTTGTAGTTTGTTAGTTAATCACCACTTATACCTTGATTTCGATTTAGCTTGAGCATTAAGATTATTTAGCATTTGATTCCCGTTCTCCGTGACCGAACCTTTGCTTGCCATTGTACTTGTTTGAGTGAGGTGTTTGTTATAAATGTGTTTGAATGAGCCTAAATTGTGCGACCGATTTAGCGCTCGTCAAAATGGCGCCGTTGTCAGGGAGCGGTGTTGTTGATTGCTATTTGATTGCTTGAGTCTAATTCACCTTTAAAAAAAAACACAAAAAGAGTTGTTTTCCTTTTTGGCTACGCTTGTAGCCTTGCTACTAATTGTGTTTGTTGAGTGCGTATGCGTAGGACTCAACATCGTGAGTTGGTGCCTTACGATCCCAAGATTGAGCAAACCCTTAGAAGAAGAAGGAGATCTCGTTCGCGGTCCTCCACTTCCCCAAGAAGAGAATCCAACCTGGAACCACAAAGAAATCCAATGGGTGACAACCCACCACCACCACCTCCAAGACCTTTGAAGGAGATGGGAACTCCGGGAGCTTATAGAGCTTCAAGTGGGATTGCTCCCCCAAACACCCCGGCCAATGACTTCGAGATTAGGCCCGCAATGATAAATTTGATTGAGAGGAGACAATTTAGTGGAGCAAAACACGAGAGCCCTCTTTCACATTTGAACGAGTTTGAGAAATATTGCAACACGATCAAGGTGAATGGGGTCACTCAAGAGTTTGTGAGACTAAAACTATTTCCTTTCTCCTTAATAGGAAGGGCTCTCGAATGGCTTGAGAAGGAGGTGAGACCCAATTCTTTGAGGACTTGGGATGAGGTCACCACGGCTTTCTTAGGGAGATTCTACTCTCAAAAGAAGACAGCCGAGGCAAGAGCTCTAATTCAAGGCTTTCAGCAAAGGGGTAGTGAGACTTTCTATGAAGCTTGGGAGAGGTACAAGGAGTACCAAAGAGAGTGCCCTCACCATGGAATCCCAACATACCAAGTTTTACAAATCTTCTATGGAGGCTTGAGTTCTCAAGGCAAAACAAGCTTGGATGCGGGAGCCGGTGGGCCAATCATGAATAAAACCGAAGATCAAGTGATTGAGATCATTGAAGATGTGGTAAGGCACCACATGGATTGGCAAGAAAATGAAAGAGAATCCACAAGCAAGAGTGGGGGGGCGGCTTATTCGGTAGATCACCTCAATGCTATAAACAACTTGACATCCCAAATTACAAATCTTGGAAAGGAGATGACATCGATCAAAGCTAAGCTTGAGTCCTCCACTTCGCGCCAAAACTTTTCCTCCCAATCTAAGGGGAGAGGTATGAGTTCTAACCCTTCTACTTCTACATCTAATAACATGCCCAGTGGATGCTTATTTTGTGATAATTGTGGGTCTTATGACCATGATACATCTTCTTGTAATTTTGATTCCCAATCCCAACCCCTTAATGATGATGGTAATGAGTATGAAAATGAACATGTCAATGCCTTGTCTTATGATAATAGACCTAGGAATGACAACCAACGATACTTACCACCCAATCAAAGAGGGCAAGGGAATAATTTCAATCAAAGAGGAAATGATTATGATTACCACAACCACAACCAATGGGGTGGTAGAAACCAAAGGGACCAAAATCCCCAAGGTAATTACAACCAACAAAGTGGTTATGGTAACCATAATCATAACAATCAAGGAAACTATGGAAATCAAGGCCAATACCACCAAGGGGGGAGTTCTAATAACCGGAACAATTGGAATAATAATGGTAATAGAGGCTTTAACAACCAAAATGATAATTCCAATGTGAGAGGTCCTAGAGCACAAAAAGACAATTGTTACACTCAACCACCTCCACAAAAGTCTAGCCTAGAAGAGATGATGGAAAGCCAAGCCAAAATGTTCAACACTTTCATGGCCACTAGTGATGAGAAGTTTAATGAAGTAATGACCCATAACAAATGCTTGAAACACAAATTTCTCAATTGGCCAATGCTTTAAAAGAGGGAGCTAGCACTTCTAAACTTCCACCCCAAGGACTTGACCCCAAGAAACCGGTGAATGCTATATCAACTAGGAGTGGGAAAGTGTTGGAAGAGAGTGTCCCTAAGGAAAACAATGAGAAAGTGAACATGAGTGAGCCTCCACTTGAGAGTGATTTTGAGAATGAAAAAGAAAAAGAGAATGAAAAAGAAAAAGAGAGTGAAAAAGAAACCAAACAATTGCAAAGACTTCCATATCCCCATAAATTTGTGAGACACAAATTAGATGTGCAATTCGGAAAATTCCTTGAAACACTGAAGCAAATTCACCTTTCAACCCCTTTTACCGATGCTATCAAGCAAATGCCTAACTATGCTAGGTTTTTAAAAGATATTTTGAGTGGAAGGAGAAAGTGTGATGTGGTGGAAACGGTGAATCTCACCGAGAATTGTAGTGCTATTATCATGAATAAGATGCCACCAAAGTTAAAAGATCCCGGTAACTTTTCAATCCCTTGTGCAATATATAAAATGCAAATTGATAATGCCTTGTGTGACCTTGGGGCTAGTGTTAGCCTTATGCCATATTCGGTATATCAAAGACTTGAGATAGGGGAACTTCTACCCACTAACATTACCTTACAATTGGCCGATAGATGCATTAAATTTCCAAAGGGTAAGGTAGAGGATGTTCCCCTAAGAGTGGGAAAGTTTGTAATTCCGGTGGATTTTGTTGTGTTAGAGATGGATGAAGATGTTAACATTCCAATAATTCTAGGAAGACCTTTTCTTGCTACTTCGGGTGCTTTAATAGATGTTCAAAGTGCTAAAATTTCACTAAAAGTAGGAGATGAGGTGATAGAATTTGATTTGAATGAGAGCATGAAATATCCAAGCTCTAGTCTTGATAATTGCATGGTGATTGATACTATTGATTCTATTGTAACTTCTATGCATGAGCACTTGCTCACTACTAACGATGCCCTTGAGAATGTCCTTTTGAACAAGGAAAAGATAGGTGACCAAAGCAAAGAGATGGCATTGTATGAAGAAATGCTTGAAGGAAGTACAGAATCAAGCAATGAGCAAGTGTGCATGGGAATCACAACGCATGATGCATTAGAAGTAGCTACCTCAAGAGAAGGTAAGGGTATTCCAATGGTAGAGTTGAAACCT